TAAATAAATGGTTGTAAATTGAGGACTACCTGTAATCCAACAATATCTAAGAACCTCAAGGTCTCCATCCCTGCAATCCCAGATAGGTAAATTAAAAGAAGATTATAAGGTTACATAGGTATGAAATGATGTTTGGGTGGGAGGCCACCGTACAAATGAAATTCTTGACTGTAGCTGGAGGTTTGAAGGATCTATCCTGAGTTGGATCATCTTCTCCAAATACATCAAAACCAGGTTCTTCTCCAAATGCTGAAGACCTTTTAGCTGGAGATCTTCGATGAAGAACAACAATGCCCTTCTCTGAGCAATGGTGGACATTTCAAATGCCATGAAGAGAAGGTCCCTGCAGAGGCTGCTTTGGACAAGGAAGGGCTTCAGGAGACATCTACCTGAGAATTGACCTGATCCATTTATTCAATCACCGTCACTCTTCAATACTACCTCCAAGGATCTGACAGTCCAACCCACCTTCTTTCTTGAAATTGTCATCTCGGTGCCTATGTCAAAGTTGACACTCTCGTCCTCTTCCCAAGAGGTAGGTTCACAAGTGGACACATGGTATTTCACAACCCAAGGACTTCCCAACAGCAGTCGCATGGTAAGCGGTTCTCTCAGTAACCCCAATTTGCTAATTAGTGTCCTAATTAGCAGTGGGTGTAGCTTATGACTATCTTTCTATATGCCCACATCACTGTCAACTCCTGAAAGATGGAGGTGAGACAACTTCTTTCTCCTGTTTTTCGCACTGTAGCATCACTCCCTTTTGTTAGTATGAAAACATTGGTGTCAGGGTTCCGAAGGATGCCCTAATTAAATCATGAGCCTCGAGCCAAGCTTCAAAAGAAATCCAATTATTTATTAGGAGCAACATGTTGGCTCAAGAGAAACCAGCTCTGACCCCACATAATTAGTATGACCCTGTTTTCCCCCCTCCCCTCCAGGATGTGTCATATATCAATCACATTCACCAATGGAGCACTTTCACACGCTGTAGAGATCACACCACTCCGGCTGTTGCAGGTAACCTGGGAGACAACCTTGAGAAAGATACGAATGGAATGAGCTTCTGGTTGTGACTGTCACACTGCTCCATCAGTTTCTCCCCCTTGCCTATGGCAACTCAAGAGCAGGCCAGGGATTCTTTGTGAGTTGACCATTGGCTCCCGATCTATACCCAGTTATGGGATGGACGTGACTTGGGAAGCAATGGGACCAGCAACAATTGCTGGTGCCGACGTTTTCGAGAACCTGTTTCCCTGGACAGCTGAGTTGACGGTGTTGGAGATGGTGGTTGGACCACAGGAATCCATTTCTGGTGGTTGAGAAGGTGGGTTTGTGCCTTTCGCGGAGTGAGGCTGTGTAGCTTTTCAGAGGTGGTTGGTAAAGAGGGGAATGAAGGCCAAGCCAAGAAGATTCTTTCTGGCTTGCTTGAAGAGCCCTGTTGGCTCATCCGCTGGAGGTGGGGAGCAGATGGTGGCCCTGTTTGAAGAGTCTTCCGGGCTGGTATCAACGAAGGCTTGGGTTGAGAAGCTCTTCCTTGGCCAAGAAACGTCTCTGGTCTGGTCGTAACCTTTGTCCGTGGTGGAAGAACCATTGGGATAGGAGGATCTCCTAACCTTTGAACATCCTTGGAACGGGAGTATGTTTTCCGCTTTGGAGAATGGCCACCCTTCTCTGTCCTACAACCCAAGGGGGGCCCTGCTGGTGAAGGCAAGGACCGAGAAGGCTTGGAGGCCACCCTAAACCAGGAGAACTTTTTTCTGCCTGCATGAGTGACACCTGAGTGCAGTTAAAGATGAAAGATTCAGTATTGGAAGAAGTGATGATAACAGAAAGCATTCTAGATCCCTACTTTGCAACCTTAATTTCCCCAAAGGTTATCTAGCACCCTTAAAACCCAAGATATCCTTCATCCTACATATCTCCTGCTGGTTGCAGACTGCAGCTTTGTTTAAACCACAGTTTGTTCCAACAAGCCAGTGAAAGTCAGGAAACCGAGAAAATTAATTATTCCTGAACCACCTGGCATCCTTGAGGACTGGGGCGGTGGAAAGATTGCACAAATAAATAAATAATATGCATCCAATTCCTGATTTCTATCTTTTCCTTTGTAAACCAAGCTGTAGCATTTAATTTCCCATTTAATTGATTTAATTTAGAATTTATACTATTGATTTATAGATGTATAAGGACAACTGCAACCCATAGAAACTAAGGCCTATCGCCAGATGAACCAACCATGGTTTCAAACAAGACATCAAAGCATACCCAGCCGAACAAATAGGTTTAAAAATAGTCCTTCTTTTCATTAAACTAGACATATCCAGTTCCTGCAATCGTTCTTCGTATGTTTTAGCCTCCAGTCCCCTCATCATCTGTGTTGCTCTTCTTTGCACTCTTTCTAGAGTATCACAATGTTGAGACTTTAGAAAGAGTGCAGAGAAGAGCAATGAAGATGATGAGGGGACTGGAGGCTAAAACATACAAAGAACGGTTGCAGGAACTGGGTATGTCTAGTTTAATGAAAAGAAGGACTAGGGGAGACATGATAGCAATGTTCTGATATCTCAGGGGCTGCCACAAAAAAGGTGGGGTCAAGCTATTCTCCAAGGCACCCGAGGGCAGGACAAGAAGCAATGGATGGAAACTAATCAAGGAGAGAAGAAACTTACAACTAAGGAGAAATTTCCTGTCAGTTAGAACAATTAACCAGTGGAACAACTTGCCTCCGGAAGTTGTGAATGCTCCAACACTGGACGTTTTAAAGAAGATGTTGGATAACCATTTGTCTAAGTGATCTAGGATTTCCTGCTTGAGCAGTGGGGTGGACTAGAAGACCTCCAAGGTCCCTTCCAACTCTGCTATTCTATTCTATTCTATTCTATTCTATTCTATTCTCAATAGTTTCTATCCTTGGGCTGTCAGACTCTTAAACACAACCACAATCACTCCACGCAAATGCAGAAACATATGACTAGTATTTCTTTTTCTTTCTTTTTCTTTTTTCCCAATTACTTGCCTAAGGATTATTCTTTATACTATTGATGTATTTTTTGTATTGGATTGCACCAGTGAGGCTAAAACCAATTTTGCTGTATACATGATGTAAAATGACAATAAAGGCTATACTATAACAACTCCGCTTCTTGCTTAAAATCTTTTTTACCAGTTCTCTCTTGGTGGAGAAATCTGACAGAGGCCATGAGTTTTTCTCCTTTTAAGGGCTTTTAATCTCCTTCTGATTTTGCAAAACCAATGCGCATTCGTGATTTTGAATCTCTCTCTGTCTCTCTTTCTCCCGCAAGCAAATGTCTGTCCATTTAAGCATACCTTATCGTCCATTAGGTCAGCCCCAGGTGAGAAAAAGGGAGTGAAAAAGTAGAAAACTCCAACTCTAAATAAAAGAATTCTCCAAAAGCAGATTTCACGGACAACACAAACCGAGGTAACATCCGCATGAAATTATCCTGACCTCATTTTGAAGCTACAGCGAGAAAATATCTTTATGTTTTGGAAAGGTAATAAAATTATCAGATTTTAAACGCCGTTGAAAACAAGAGCTATCTAACCCATTTTTTTCAGGAGAAAACAGGTGTTGTTGACCAGCATAAATAAAAGGGCTCTTTCCCAATATTTAAGAAAGATAGGCATAGGCACAACTATAACTAGAAAATTTAAACTTAGTTCTGTTTACTTGTCCAACAGGGGGTTGGAAAGGAATAATTCTTTTTAATCTTAAGAAGGTGTGTCCAACCTATAATACACGGGACACACAAGGCCCTGGACAGCTAGTCAAGAAAAGACTGGACAACCATTTGTCTGAGCAGAGGGTTGGACTAGAAGACCTCCAAGGTCCCTTCCAACTCTGTTATTCTATTATTCATGTGGTCCCACAAGATGATACAAAATATATAGTAAATAAAGGAAGTTTGTTACAGGTAGTCCTTGATTTACGACCACAATCAATCCCAAAATTTCTGTCATTAAGCGAGACATTTGTTAAGTAGATTTTGTCCCGTTTTACAACCTTTTTTTGCCACCAATGACAAACGAGTCACTGCAGTTACGTTAGGAACACAGTTGTTAAGTGAATCTGGCTTCCCCATTGAGTTTGCTCGTCAGAAGGACACTGCAACCGTCATAACTATGAGTCACTTGCCAAGTGAAAAATGATCCTGTCACATTTTTCAAAGCTTTGAACTGTCACTAAATGAACTGTTGTAAGTCAAGGACTACCAGTACTTATCATACATTAGCTTCTTGATATGTTTCATGTGTGATCCAAGAAATTCCTCCTGATTCAACGCGGCCCAGACAAAATGTCAGACAACCACAAACTTAAACATTCTTAAACGTTTTCTTAAATCTTAAAACATGATNGCTGGCTGGGGAATTCTGGGAGTTGAAGTCCGGACATCTTCAAGTTGCCAAGGTTGAGAAACACTGTATTAGGAGGAAAAATGTTGTATATAAAAATATGTACCAATCTAAAACTGCTATAAGAAGGAACAAAGCTGGCATGGGTTTTTTTGTAAAAAGTTTTTTTTTTGTTTCCTTTCAAATTAATTCTTAGATATACGTTCTTATAATTGCTATTTAACATTTGTCAATTCATATCATTTTTCCACCTGTACATTTACATTTTGATATTTTCTTATTTCCCCTCCTCTTGTTTTAATCATGTGTCGTCTGAGATACTTATTTCATGTTCTGTTCCTTTCTATTGATATCTTTTTTCAAGCCACTCTTCAAATTGCCTGTTAGCACACCGATTCCTCTTTGTCCTTTATTCTCAATATCAACCTATTCATTTCTGCACAGTCTAATATCTTCTTTATTACCTCCCCCACCGAAGTTCTGGCATGTTGAATAAATGTAGTCTATGTCTTTGTATTTGTGTGTTTAAAATTTAAAAAAAACAAATTTAAAAAAATAAGCACACAAAAAAGTGGGGTGGGTGGGTTGTCGGGACCAGGAATCTGCTTCATGCTTTTGGGGGAAGCCTAGGTGAGAACACCGATGTTCCAAAATGCACCATTTCTCTACCACCCGTGTTCCACCCAAGTTCCCCCCAGCTTTAGCATCAAACTCCTCTTACTTGTAAACTGGGCTGGCACCATCACAAAGTCATCGGTGTCGCAGGATGAATTTTTGCTGCTGCTTTCCGCCGATTCCTTTGACCGGTGGAGGAAAGCTGGGGAGCCTGGCTGTGGGGAGGCTGGGGTCTTCTCCTGGAGATGGGGCATCTCACCAAGCGACTTCTCAGGGAAAAGAGAAGGAGATCCAGGTTGAAAAAAAAAACACATTGTTGGACAAGGAATGTTAGTCGTTGTTGCCAATGTTTTGCTACCGTATTTTTCAGCATATAAGATGCACCTTTTTCCCTCAAAAAAGAGGGTGAAAATCTGGGAGGGTCTTATAGACTGAATACAGCATTTTTGGTGTACCGAAACCCTGCCCCCTTCGCAAAAATGGATGTGCATAGCCTTTAGGAGGCTTCCAGAGTGTTCCTGGGGGCTGGGGAGGGCAATACAAACAAAAAAGGGGCCGTTTTTGCTCCTCCCCTCCCCTGCAGTCCCCAGGAACACTCCAAGAGCCTCCCAAAGCTATGCATGTTTTTTTTTAAACAAAAAAACGAAGTGTGCAGAGAGTTTGGGAGGCCTGTAGAGTGCAAAAACTTTTTAAAAAAATCTACCTCTTCAAAATCATTGTCTTATAGTCCAAAAAATACGGTAATTGTCAAAAGCATTTCCTGTCACAGTCAGCCACAATGTCTAGTTTTGAGCCCAAGGTCACTGGTGCATGCTGCAGGGTGAGTTTAGCGTACTTCAAGTCCTAAAGCCGTGATGGTGAACCTTTTGCACATGAGCCGCCCGGTGGTACTCAATGCCCTCTCTGGGGGCACGTGAGCCGTCGCCCTAGTTCAGCTCCACCACGCGTGCGTGCATGCCTCCTGCCAGCCAGCTGGTTATCAGGTCTCTGCCACATATGTGGGGTACATGCGTGGGTCTGCGTGCATGCGTGGGGCAACTGCAAGTGGGTATGTGGACATACATGGGGGTGCACGCATGCACAGGAGGGACACAGGTGCATGTGGGGGTGTGGCACATATGAGGGGCCTGCATGCATGCGCAGGGAGTGGGACGCATGCAGGAGGGCTGTGCACCCATTGCACTTTGGGGGTTCGGGCATGCACAGACGCATTTCAATGTCAGGTTTCCCCCCAAAAATGCCCTAATCGATTCATGAGCCTCGGACCAAACTTCAAAAGCAAATTAGTCATTTATCAGGAGCACCATTTGGGAAGATCTTTTCGCAGTCAGATCCGAGCCTCATTTGAATTATAGCTGAACTTTGCCCCTGTTCCTTCCTTCCCCTCAGTCTGTGTCATAAATCACATTTCCCAATGAGGTGCACCCCTCCCAAGCCTGCTGCAGTAATCTGAGATCCCACTACAGCTGAAAGTATGCATGGAATGCACTCCCCCCCCCTTTCCGCAGAATGACAATTTTAGGAGTTGGCATTGCACATGTGCACTTGGTCCGAAAAAGATTGGCCATCCCTGACCTAAAGGAACCATCTGTGGGAGAGGGAACTGCTGAATATACTCACAGGAGGTGATGCTAAGTGAGAAGTGGAGGAACTGCTAGAAGAGCTTCCGGAGCCCAAGCTTGGGTAAGAAGGCATTGGCACAGAAGCAGCTGTAGAAAAGGGGTAGGGGAGGAGGGAAGAGAGGGAAAAGGCACATTTTAAAAGACTTCAACAGAAGAAGGTATCTCTAGCTCAGAACTGTGACGTCCTTCGTGCTCTCTGAGCTTGGTGGTTCGCTTCCAGACGTTTCATGACCCAACGAGGTAACATCATCGGTGGGGTTTGCTCAGCTGAGAGAGACCGACACAAGGACAACCAGCCAGCTGGCATGGCTAAAGTGGGACTAGAACTCACTGTCTCCTGGCAATTGGCCCAAAGTCACCCAGCCAACTTTCATGGCTAAGATGGGACTAGAGTTCACTGTTTCTTGATTATTGGCCCAAAGTCATTCAGTTCTCTTTCATGGCTTAGGCGGGACTAGAACTCACTGTCTCCTAGTGATTGGCACAAAGTCGCCCAGCCAGCTTGCATGACTAAAGTGGGATTAGAACTCGCTGTCTCCTGGCAATTGGCCCAAAGTTACCCAGCCAGTTTTCCTGACTAAGGAGGAACTAGAATTCACAGTCTCTTGATGATTGGCCCAAAGTCATTCAGTTCACTTTCATGGCTTACGCGGGGCTAGAACTCACTGTCTCCTGGCGATTGGCCCCAAGTCACCCAGCCAGTTTGCATGGCTAAAGTGGGACTAGAATTCACAGTCCCTTAGTTTCTAGTCTGCTGCCTTAAGCATTAAACCAATCTTGGTCTTCAGGCAGGCGACAAATGCTTTTAATCGGATTGACTAATAACCCATAAATGAAAGAGGGAGCGAAATAGAATAGCTCTGGAGTTTTAAATCAGAGAGGGAGGTGACTGGTTGCCCCCTGCCTGGGGCTTGACCCAATAGAGTTGATTGTCCTTTGATATGAAGCCAAGAATCATCTAAGGAACAAATGCCACAATCTGCCCATTAATTAAACCTTTCATTCTTCCAACTGCTCATTAGCTCCTTCCTGGCTTCCTAGCCAAGCAGATAAATATATAGTGCTTTTGACTTATTAATCCCCCACACGGAATTTTAGATCCCCAAGTCAATGTTCCATTCAAGATGCAAAATTCACTATATTTAGTCCATTCACAAGTCGTATTTTTTTAAAAATTCTCGTTGCTTCCAAAAACCCACCAGATTAAGAAACAGATTAAGATGGGATTCCGAGATTTCATTCGGCATTTAATTCCGGGTGTGGGAAAATCACTAAGGTGAAGGGACATTGTTTGGGTTAGAAGCAGCCCAGGGAACAGAGAAAGGCTCCAATTCACATTGAATTTAAGGAGGAACACAACCAGGGATCAGAGGACACGCTTTGCATAAAATTCATTCTCCAGCATTTCCTGTTTAAAAAAGATCAGAGAGCCCAGCAGCGTCTCTCCAGATGTGAGAAGACGCCAAAGCTGAGCGTTCTGAGAAAACATCTGGAGAGAACCAGATGTGAAAAGATAAGCTGGATGGGTAGGTGCATGTTTTGAGTGAGTTATAGGTTTATCTTCACATGGATAGTTTAATAGAATAACAGAGTTGGAAGGGACCTTGTAGGTCATCTAGTCCAACCCTCCGCCCAAGCAGGAGACCCTACACCATTTCTGACAAATGGCAGTCCAGTCTCTTGTTGAAAGCTTCTAGTGATGAAGCTCCCACAACTTCCGAAGGCAACTTCTGTTCCATTGGTTGATTGCTCTCACTGTCAGAAAATTTATCCTTATTTCTAGGTTGAATCTCTCCTTGTTCNAAACTGCCGACCTTTCTGATCGACAAGCTCAGCGTCTTAGCCACTGAGCCACTGCTTCCCTTAGGCAAAAATATAATAACAAAATAATTAAAATCTTAAAACAAGGGGAATTCTGGGAATTGAAGTCCACCTGTCTTAAAACAAGCTGGCTGTGGAATTCTGGGAGTTGAAGCCCACCCATCTTAACATTGCTCAATTTCGGAAACCCTCCTCTAGCACGTAGACCTGCCCTCTAGGACTCCTCAACAAACCATAGTTGCTCTAAACCACGACTCAAATCTGAAGAAAAAAAGCTTGCCACTCTGTCTAAAAATTCCCTTTTTCTAGAACTTCTCATCCAAGACTATTATATGGGCTCAGCACTCACTGCAGCCTTTTTAAGATGAGCCCGGGAAAACAAGGAGCACGGAGAACTTGGAATAATGCTTGTTCTCCATTTACTTTGGGTTGGGAAGAAAGGAAGGAAAAAATAAATAAAACCCCAAGAAGCTTGTTATGCTTGGCCGAAACGAGTGGATCTGGCAAAGGTTTGGGATCCTCGCCACTCTGCTTTTTTCTCCCCGCCCCGCCGGCTTGAAATATTTAGACCCGGCCAGGTCAGCCGGGGTAACCAAGTTGGCGTGCCATTTGCCGAGATCCGTCATTCCTAGCTAGAGAGCAGAAAAGGCCCGTTGCCAAGTGGTTGCTAAACCGGGCGGCAGAGCACATGAGAGGACAGGTGCCGATTGAAAACACAACAAGGAACAGGCGGTGAGAAGAGGGGAGGGAGGGGGAGCGGGAAGGAGGGGAGAGGGAAGGGAAAAAAAGGCCGGCCGGCTTGGAAAACTTACTTTGGCACCAGCAACTTGTTTTTCTCGTAGAAGAGACGCAGGTCTTGAGGACTGCTGGCCTGCAGAGGGAGGGAAAGGAGAGGATTAGCCAAAAGTCAGCCTGTCCATCCTGGAGGTCCATCAACCAGGGGAAAGCTTACCGAGGGATTTGTAGAGCAGTGTTTCTCAACCTTGGCAACTTGAAGATGTCTGGACTTCAACTCCCAGAATTCCCCAGCCAGCATTCGCTGGCTGGGGAATTCTNTCCGAAGACGTCTCTGTGGTCATGTGGCCGGCATGACTCAATGCCAAAGGCACACAGAACACTGTTCCCTTCCCACCAAAGGTGGCCCCTATTTTTCTACTAGCATTTTTATGTGCTTTTGAACAGCTAGGTTGGCAGAAACTGGGACAAGTAACAGGAGCTCACTCAATTACATGGCGCTAGGGATTCGAACTGCTGACCTTTCTGATCGACAAGCTCAGCGTCTTAGCCACTAGGCCACCCTTTTAAATATGATTATCCCTTACCACAATCTTAAACATGATTATCGCTTATATCTTTTATGTACACTGAGATCTTATGCACTGAAGACAAATTCCTTGTGTGTCCAATCACATTTGGCCAATAAAGAATTCTATTCCATTCTCTTCTATCCCTAATAATTCCTAATTTGTACTCCTATTTCTATTCAAATGCAAGAGACAGTATTTAGTCCTAATCATAGCTAACCCCCCAATCCATAAAGAGCAAATAAAAATAAAAATCTATGTTTTAATACAGTAAACTGCCCGCAGTTCGGTTTCATTATGAGATGGGCGTCAAATAAATATAGCAAGTAACTAAATGAATAAAATCTCCTCTAGTAACTATTAGCAGATGGGAGAAGGCCGTTTCTCCCTTAACCATCTCAAAGGGAAAGCCAGGAAAATGTACTAAAGCTCTCATCGCTAAATTTGCTTTGCGTGTGCCTATGTGCTATACAGCGACGTATCAACCCCAAAGAGAAAAAGCATGAAAGAAACTTACATTTTTTCATAGAAGTACTGGCATCCAGGAAGGGGTGGTGGAAAAATTCATCTAAAAATAAAATAAAATCAAAAATAAAACATTTTTTAAAAATTTTAATACAAACAATCCATCTTCCATTAAACAGTGTGTTGCCTGAATACAAATATCTTGTGCAATAACAATTATATTTACAACCATACTCGTTTTTTTCCCTGCTCTTGACTTAATACTGATAAGCATAACATATCTGATGATATCTGATACTGTAACAATCCATTTCTTAAATTGTTTAATTCTATATATTTTCTATGTTTCACTAATCTACTTTCATTTCTAACTTTCATATTTGTTCTCTAAACATCGGTAGAATAGTTCCCATAGACTATAATATTCAAGGGATGCAGTGGCTCAGTAGCTAAGACGCTGAGCTTGTCAATCAGAAGATCAGCGGTTCGGCAGTTCGAATCCTTAGCGCCGCGTAACGGAGGGAGCTCTCGTTACTTGTCCCAGCTTCTGCCAACCTAGCAGTTTGAAAGCATATAAAAATGCAAGTAGAAAAATAGGGACCACATTTGGTGGGAAGGGAACAGTGTTCTGTGCGCCTTGGGCATTAAGTCATGCCGGCCACATGACCACGGAGACGTCTTCGGAGAGCGCTGGCTCTTCGGCTTTGAAACAGAGATGAGCACTGCCCCCTAGAGTCGGGAACGACTAGCACATATGTGCGAGGGGAACCTTTACCTTACTAGAATATTCAGTTTGCTCCTTCTCTTTAATTGCAAGTGTCAACCTATTCATTTCTGCACATTCTAATATTTTCCTGATCACATTCTCATCCGTAGGAATCTCTTCCCTTTTCCAGTGTTGTGCATACACAATCCTAGCTGCCATTATTACATGAAGAGTCAAATATACATTCTCAATCAGAAGTTGGATTTATGAGGTGATTTCAGTTTGTTTTTGAAAGGAAAAGAAAGAGAAGCCAAGGAATGTAAAATAAACTGGCTTGCCCCGGTTTCCCCCTTTAGATTTAAGCAACGTCAAAACGCTTACCAAAATCCATTCGGTCTTTGTAATTTCGTTGCAACAGCCCTAAGAGGAGTTGTCTCAAATGGGCAGAGGTTTCCCTTGGGATGCTTCAAAACAAAGAAATAAACAACAGTTTTAAAAAGGAGGAAGGTAAAGGACCCTCATTTTAACATTCCGGATGCCTAGTAATATACATACAAACACAAACAGCAACCAAATATGTAACATTTCCAGAATGCAGAATAACAGGATTGGAAGGGAAGGAAGAATGGAAGGCTGAGTCAACATTGAGCCGGTCAGGATCGAACTCCTGGTAGGCGGCAGAATTAGTCTGCAATAATGCATTCTAACCACTAGGAAGGAAGGAAGGAAGGAAGGAAGGAAGGAAGGAAGGAAGGAAGGAAGGAAGGAAGGAAGGAAGGGAGAGCAATTGCTTCACAGTGCATTTACAGCCCTCTCTAAGCAGTTTACAGAGTCAGCCTCTTGACCCCAACAATCTGAGTCTTCATTTTACCGACCTCGGGAGGATGGAAGGCTGAGTCACCCTTGAGCCGGTCAGGATCGAACTGCTGGCAGTCGGCAGAGTTAGCCTGCAATTCTTCATTCTAAGCACTGCGCCACCTCTGCAACCATTTTCTTTCTTCCCAGCACTTTTATAGTATAAACATATACAGGGAGTCCTCATTTAGTCTCTAGAATGGGGACTAGCAACTCAGTTGTTAAGTGAAGTAGTCGCTAAGTGAAACCGCAACCCCCGCTTACGATCTAACTTCAGCTTTACTTTGCTTTATGGAACGTTGTCAAGACAAGTTCGGGTCACAAACGTTACTTTTACATCCCTCCCATGAATCCAAATGGTCACTAAAAGAGGCAGTTGCTAAATGAGGACTCTCCGTACCGCCATCAAAGTTTTTTATTTAATAACAAGATTTTTTTTTAAAAAAATAGCAAAATAAACAATGCTAAACAGACCCATTCTCAATCTCTCCTGCCTGAGATGGCATGTTGGTTTAAATCACATATTTGCAAATAATAGTAATAATAGTAGTAATAATAATAATAACAACAACAATAATAGTAATAGTAATCATCATCATCATCTCCAAATCAAACCCACATCTTATGGGGATGTTAAGCAAAGTTATCCAACTTCTGATCTGATTTATGGGTGGGGTGGAGGCGCGAGGAACACACCCATTTTTGCAAATGACCTAAAGGAGGAATCCTCAACCTTTTGGACCTCAGGGACCACTAATATGATCGGCCTAGTGACCCACTGGGTGAGTGTGGCTAGGTGGCTGTGTGACTGAGTGGGTGTGGTCAACTCAATGTCACTCACATCAAAAGGCACCTTGAGGGCCTCTAACTGCTCCTCCCCTCCCAGTCCTTCCCCGCCTGCCAGCCAGGGCTCTTTAGGGCCCCAACAGGAAGCAGTTGCTGGACCTAAGCAGCCACCAAAGAAAGAGTTGGCAAAACTTCTCAGTTCAAATCGGATCTGGCTGAGAAGGAGGCTCAGCAGAAGCACCTCACTGAGGACTATGAGCATAGGCTTTCCAAGCAGAGAGAAGACCTGTGGGAG